CTTAGTGTACATGTACTCCTACATTTGATGAAAGTGATAAAAATAGAAGCTCTGTCTCTCTTTATTCTGACATTTAACTAATTCAAAAGATATTTCAATATTTATTTATCTAAAACAAAACAAGTTTACTCTAAATTGATGTTGTACAGTAAAAAAAAATTGGTTTTATGTTTTTCCATAAAGTGTAAATATCTGGTTTCAACTGTGAATATACTGCTGTGTGTTGAAGTTCCTCTTGTTTTGCATAGAAATATACTGAACAACATACAAAGCATAATATATAAAATAACATCTACCTGAGTTTTTCTTTGAAAGAAGCTCCTTATGTCCATTGTTGTGTTCATCAGTACATAACTGAAACGCTTTGTTTAGCCGTGGAGGGAAACAACTGAAAATATGAAATAAACACATGTAAGCTGAGACTCTCTAAAGAAACAGCTTTGTTGTTGTTCGGCTTTTCATTTCGCCATTTGTTGATTCATTCGAAGAGCAAGTAACGTAATATGGGTCAAGTGATCAGTTTGATATCAATCTTTCGTGATTCACCGTCATATTTACATTATTTGTACCGAATGATTTGCTTTGGTACCTGGCAGGGGCGATTTTAGCCCATTTTGGGGGGTGCTTCAGCACTGTTTGCATTGACCACTGGTCAGTTCTGCATTTCGGGGCAATGAGTCTTTTGCTGCGTGTGCTCTGATGGTTCATCATGGAGGTGTGCATGGAGTGGGAGGGGTTGTCCATGATACAAAGAAGCTTTTTTAGCATTCTCCTCACAGACACCTCCTCTAGGTCCAGTCTGACACCCAGGACAGAACCAGCCTTTTTAATCGGTTTGTTCAGCCTGTTGGCATCGGCTGTCTTCACCCCACTGCCCCAGCACACAGCTGCAAAGAACACAACACTCTTTACCACAGAGTGATAAACATGGTCAGCATTTTCCTACAAGCATTAAAGGACCTGAGCCGCCTCAGTAGGAAAAGCCGACTCTGCCCTTTTTTAAAGACAGCATTGGTGTTCTTGGTCCAGTCCAGTTTACAGTCCAAGTGTACCCCCAGGTACCAGTAGTCCTCCAGGATCTCTACATCAGCCCCTCTGATGGTGACAGGGGGAGGAGGAGGAGCCTGCTTCCTAAAGTCCATGATCAGTTCCTTTGTCTTTGTGATGTTAAGTTGTAGATGGTTTAGCTCACACCACTCAACAAAGCTGTCCACCACACTCCTGCACTCCTCCTCCTGTCCGTCTGATACAGCCCACAATGGCAGAGTCATCAGAGAGTTTCTGCAGATGGCATGACTGAAACTTGGACCTGAAGTCAGACGTGTAGAGGGTGAAGAGGAAGGGTGATAGGACCGTCCCCTGTGGCGCCCCCGTGCTGCTCAGGATGTTGTCGGAGCAGCAGCCCTTCAGCCGAACATGCTGTGGTCAACTTGTTAAGTAGTCTGTGATGCAAGCTACCAGTGGGGCATCCACCTGCATTTCTGTGAGCTTATTCCCCAGCAGTGATGGTCTGATTGTGTTAAAAGCACTAGAGAAGTCAAAGAACATGACCCTCACAGTGCTTCCAACAATGTCCAGGTGAGAATAAGCCTGGTCCAGCAGGTAGATGATGGGGTTGATAAGCAAACTGTAGGGGGTCCAGCCAAGGCTCCACCAGCAGACGCAGATGTCTCAGGATGAGTCTCTCCAGCGTCTTCATGACATGTGAAGTCAGAGCCACTGGCCTGCAGTCACTGGGGGTCGACGGGTTAATCTTTTTAGGGACAGGAACCACGCAGGATGTCTTCCAGAGTGATGGAACCCTCTGCAGTTTCAGACTCATGTTAAAGATCCGATGCAGAACTCCAGACAGCTGCGAAGCACAGCACCTGAGGGCCCTGGGACTGACACCGTCAGGGCCAGCAGCTTTACTGGAGTGGAGTCTGCCCAATTCTTGATGTCATCTTCTGAAAGGGACAGGGTGAGACAGGCTAAAAATGTTTCTCCAACTGAAAACGCTACGTCCAGATGAACAGAATCAACCTTTTGGGCTATGATTAGTGTAACTTTGCCAGTAACTCTTTAAAGTCAACAGTATACACTACTGTGGCTGTAGCTCAGGTGGCAGAGCAGGTCAGCCACTAATCAGAAGGTCGGTGGTTCGATCCCAGGCTGCCTCCTGACTGCATGCCAAATATCCTTGGGCAAGATACTAACCTTGTTTGCCTACTGGTGGTGGTCAGAGGGCCCGGTGGCGCCAGTGTCCGGCAGCCTCGCTTCTGTCAGTGCGCCCCAGCTGTGGCTACAATGTAGCTGCCATCACCAGTGTGTGAATGACTGAATGTAGTGTGAAGCACTTTGAGGTCCTTAGGGACTAGAAAAGTGCCATTTACACTCCAACACATAAGGATTATTATAGATAGATTCTATTATAATTTAATAGAATCCTTGCCATCCCTCACAAGTGAGCCCCAAATACATCTGTGGGTAACATTACTACATTTACTGTAAAAACCACACAGTTGGTTTTGAGCTTTATTTTTTGCTCAAAGCGCTCAAAATTTGGATGTGTTTGGTTGACTTCTACATGTTTTTTTACATTTTCTGGGAGTTCCTGTCATCAGGTTTGCTTTACTTACACAGTAGAACAAAGCTAGAAGCTGGAATAGAATTTGGTTTTATTTTTAGTCAATTTAACACTAAATGTGTTTTCCTTCTTTATAAAAAGTTGACATGTATTATATTTTGATGGACTAATTCTGATCAGTTGTAACAGTCCACTTCATGCATGCTGACTCGAATCATCCTCTGCTGAGCGACTTCTGAAACATGAAGAAACCTTTTTAAAATTTATACTGCTGTGAATGTTGTATATCTCGTAACAGTGACATGATGTTTACTGTGAGTGCTGAGCTTTGGTTATAGTAAACCTGCCTTGTGTTGTTTATCAGATATTCACACCAGAAGCATCAGCAAGAATTTTCTTTAAAAGAAAAGAAAAAACGAATCTGTTATGAAAACTGTTACGAAATCGATCACCTGAAAATAATGGATGTTTTTCTAGCTTTTCTTATCTACAGTACAAATATAGTGTGTATATAGTGAGGATGACATTTTTTTATTGAGATATTTTTATGAGTTTGCAGCTTGGTGTGTCTCTCTCTCTGCTTATATGAGTGAATGGAGCTCACCCGGCAGTATCTTGCTTTCTCCAATCTGTAAGCCAGGATTATCAGAGTAGGATATTTATCTATATAATATTGATTTGATTACGCTTCAAATTCAGGTCAGAGAGAGGGTATTGTTTTCTTTTACACATGTGTGTTTAATAAATTAAAGCAGTAATGATTAAATTATTACAAATCACTCCAGTTGATAAAAATGTGAATTCTGGCGCCTGGCAGAACCTTGAAGCCGCAGGTGCGCCACCTGTTGGAACTGGGGTGAAGTGCACCAAAACTTCAGATTTTGTCAGAATTACGTGACCTGTGTGTTTTGAAAGCAATTGTTTTCTATAAGCTTCTGTCATCTCCGCAGAACATAAAGTTTCTGACTCGTGATTTCCAAAAGGCAGCCTGGATGAAATCCAATAATGAAAACTAGGCAGACATTAAACACTGAAGAAAGGACTTTATTGTACACAAAACTGGCAAAATAAAACATTTTCAGTTCAAGTCCGGGTTGTCTATTCCTGTCAATAAAACACATTAAACAACTATAAAAAGAAAAGTGTTGCTTCACAAACTGTTTGTCTGATTAACTTTAACCCTGAGCACATCAGCAGAATTACCCACACTTTATAACAGCAAAACAATAACAGGATGAACTGAGCAAAGAATCTTAATATGCAAACTGAAGAAAAAAACCTAATATTGAAAAGCATTTAAATGTGGTGTATAATATTCAGATAAAAACCTGACCTTTCTGTTTGGCTCGAACAGTCTGTGAGATCTAGTTTTGTTAATGCTGACATGCCTGTAACAGTAACTGCACTGCTGTTGTAGGACTCCAAACTTTTTTGGTTTTGTTTATTTGTTTAAGCTACAAATCAATTGATAGATAACTTAGGGCTGTCCTAAAGTGGACCTTACTTTCTCTCACTTCTGGACAATCCAGTGGGCTAAAATTTACAAAGTAAACATGAATTTGATGAGACTTGAAAATGTGAATTGTAGCTCTTTTTCCAACAATCTTTCATATAACCAAAGATTTCTGCGGTCAGTCTCTTCCTGCTGGCCTGATGCAGGTTGAAGAAACAGACACAGGCTTCACATTTCAACCTGAAAGCGGTGTCCTTGTTTTTATATATTCTATGATAAAAGAATATAATAGATCATATTGACTGTATAAAATCAAGGCCGATATATCAATCTCTCAAAAAAATTCTATCATGCTGTCTTTGCACTATTTTGCATTCAATTTGGGATTTAAATAATATTTTCAACACTCAGACAGTCGAAGCGGTCTCCAGGGTGAAACAATCGCACAAGTGCTGCTGATTTGCTGAGGAAAAATAGCCATGATAAACCAATCACATGACCAATTTAAGATGACATAGCAACAACCCAAGACAACCCTGAGTCTTCACTTTTGTGTTAAAAGTGTATGTTGTGTTGATAGGCCACGTAAAACTAGAGTCATGATAAAAAAAATATATGTAATGTTTTTTCCTGAATCGTTGTTTATGTTTACTGAGGGAAGAAACAGTAAAAACTGCATTTTCTAAGGCAAACACTCAAAAGCACAAAAATTATAAAAAAACAAGAAACAAAACCATCCTTTCCTATTGGTGTTCTGTAAACAGTTTGAAATAGTTATCAGGTCTTTAAGTTTGACGTCATTAACCGTTTCTGGGTCCCACAGTCAAACGATCACTGTGGCATCACTGAGAGTTACAAACTGTCTAAATTCTTTCATCTTTAATAAGATGATCAGTGTTCTGCTCTACCAGGTGTAACAATTAAGTTTAACTTCCAGGCATCCATGAAAACAGAATTTATTAAATTCAACAGAGTTAGAAGTTAGCAGGAAGTTAGCTCGCTAGCTTCCACTTAAACATAATATGCCATGTCCAGCTCTGCTATCATAACCTTAAAGCCATGCTGTATAACTGACATCACAGAGTCTTGGTCTCAGTAACCAGCTGCTTCACCATTTTTCCTTTTATCAGACCACGCAGAGATACAGTTGCCCGCTTTTTCCACAGCGTTAACTGTGTTGTAGAATTTTGCTACTTTATGTCCCAGAGCTTCAAGACCATCAACTACATCCTGCAGAGCAAAGAGGAGAGAGACTCAGATGGAACAAAACCTGTAGAAATTATTAATTTATCATTTAAATACACTGAATAAATTACCTTTTCAAGCTTGGATTCAAGTGTTACTTCACTTTGAGAGTCTACAAGAACAACCAGAGTATCAATTGCCTCCTTAAGACTCTTTCCAAACCAAAGGTGGTTCATGAGCGCCTTGGAGAGAAAAAATAAATCTATGAGGTGAGAATGTGATGATTACAGGATAAATTAGGGTGAAGAGTCCTCTTACTGTGATGCAACCTTTAACAGCAAAGACGGGCATCGGTCCACATGAATTTATTTTATTTAATATGTAACGGCACCTTTGTGTGTACCATGCATACGTACCGAGGCCACAGCCGGTGGAATCATTTCAGAACCAGACCCTCCAATCACCAGCGTCTTCAACGGAGACTTCAGCACAGAAGGGGCCATATTGGAGGGAGGCCGCTCCCCTGAGAAATACAACAAAGACCTTGAACGGCGAAACTAGAAAGCAGAAATCAGTCTGTACACACATATTTGAGCATAAATCATTCATACAAATGTTTCATACACAAATCAGTGACTGTATTTTCTTGCAGTATTTTCATACCTGGATTGCGGGGGCAGTGGAGCCTATCCTAGCTATCATAGGGTGAGAGGCAGGTTAAACCCTGGTCAGGTCGCTAGCCTGATGCAGAGCTAACACAGAGAGACACTCAACCATTCACATTCACAACTATGGGCAATTTAGAATCACCAATTAGCCTAACCCTACTAACTGCATGTCTTTGGACTGTGGGAGGAAGCCAGAGTACTCAGAGAGAACTCACAAACATGGGGAGAACATGCAAGCTCCCCACAGGAGGTGGGATCGAACTCAGGGCCTTCTTGCTATAAGGCAACATTGCGCCACCGTGCTGCCCTATCTATATACAGTATAAATGAATATAAATATCCATATACTGTTAAATCACAACAGCACATTTATATTATAAGGTTAACCCACTTCAGTAGAGACAAAACTGAACAATAAGACGAGCCCCTTGTGAGCAGGTACTTAATGACAGTGTGAAGGAAAAACTCACTTTTAACAGCAAGAAACCTCCAACAGCACCAGGCTCACAGAGGGGCAGTCATCTGCTGTGACCAGCTGAAGAGTGAGGTGAGGAAGACAGGACAGATTTAGAGAGCTCGTGTAATTTGTGTTTATAGAAGTTCACTCAGAGCTCAACTGTGCCTGTTTTTGAACATTCAAAACATTTCAGTAGGCTATGGCATTAAATGGAAAATGGCATTTTAATCCAAATTTACATGATGTGCTTCAGTTTGGCAGTTTTGTTGATTGTTTTCATCAATTGTCAGATGACAAGGTGTCACAATGAATTATGAAATGCAATTTTCTGCGCTCATTTCCTCAATGGTGCTTTTGTTTGGTACTCTTAGATTAATAATTCATGGTGTGCAGTTTCCTGAGGTGTTGTTGTTTTTCTTTCAAATTTCTTATATTTGCCCCCCAACATGCTAACATGTGCAAACATGCATATTTATAAAGTATATGTTATATTAACCAGCGGTCCCCAACCCCCGGGCCTTGGACCGGTCCGTGAGTCGTTTGGTACCGGGCCGCGAGAGTTGAGGCTCAGGTGTGAAATGTATAGTTTTCAGGGTTTTTATCGGTTGTCAGCGTTATTTTGTTATCGTTTTTATTGTTAACTCGGTTTTCCTGGGTCTTTTCACGTGTGTTATGAATAAATCTTCTTTTTTTCGGTACCGGTACTAGTTTTATTTTGTTGTATTTATCCGCGACACCTTAAAGGCCGGTCCGTGAAAATATTGTCGGGCATAAACCGGTTCGTGGCGCAAAAAAGGTTGGAGACCGCTGATATTAACCATGCTAAACACGTTAGTTGAAGTAAAGATGAAGATGAAGTACAACTGCGAATTAGCACTATACAAATCAGAACTGAGGTCCAGAATATTTGTTAATAAATATTAAATTCAGAAGGAATCCTGCTGATCCCTTACCATGAAAGATGTTATGAGCTCGACCACAAAAGTCATTTAGATGGTTGTTGAGGATGATTCCAGTGCTTGAAGAGAGGACATTGGACCCAAATCTGTAAAGAGTAAACATTAAATGAACTAGGTCTAAACCCTGTGACACTGTTGTGGAAAAGTCAGCTGGTTTCTAACAGTGAAACAGAATGATGCAGGTACTGACTCATCGTTGATGCTGCTGGTGACAGACACAGCAGATCCATCTTCAGCCAGCACAGATACATGTGTGGTGCCGATGCTGTCCAGATATGAGTTTTTGCCGTAATACTGGGGATCGTGAGTCTTGTCGCTGCTGATCAAGCTCCGTATGTGGTTGGCAAAGCTATCCTCTGTCAAATTCTTTGCCATCTGTGTGAAATACAGAGAATTAAGACCCATAATTAAATAAGCACATTACAGAAAATACATTGATATCAAGAAAATTAACAATTTACAGCCAAATATTAACAGAATTTTGATCATTGATGCATCACTGACGCTGCTGGTGACAGACACAGCAGAAGCATCTTCAACCAGCGACTTGCAAAGTCGCAAGCTCACCCCAGCAAATTAACCGAAAGTCCGACTGTGCAATGCTCAGAGATATTACAAAAAACTTCAGACCTCAACTCATTATCAATGTGCATAAACCGACTGTGGTGGGATGTGGTTTGTGGATGAGCTGCAGGCGGGGTGGAGCACAGGGTTCAGGCAGAGCAGAGGCTGATGTGGTGTTGCTACATTTACTCGTTTAGTCACTTAAATATAATCATACTATATGCAACAAAGCAGGTGCAAATCTGTAGGATTTTCAGATACTTACTTTATCTGAGCTGAAGTTTGGATCTCTGATATGTTTCTTTAATCCATTGGCAAATTTTAAAGCTTCAATATAACGGTGATAAAACAAAATCTTTTCATCAGTCATGTTAGGTTCTGATTCCATTTTGTATCCTGAAAATATAAATAATTGTTTGTTTTTTATTTAAAACATCCATTTCTAGTGTATCACATTTGTAAAGATTGATAAGGATCATCTCCACATGCTAGAAGCAACAATCAGGAACCTTTCATGGTGTTGAGGATGAAGCTGAGGATGGCTCCTCCTGAAGGAGGCGGAGGGAAGTACATCCGGTAATCTCCCAGAGAAATATTCCACGCATCAGTCACATTAGCTTGATACGATGCCAAGTCCTCCAGTGTGAGTGTTCCTCCTGAGCAAAAACATTAAAACAAATGATTTTGTTGAGCAAAAATGAACACAACGCATTTCATAATCAAGACTTTGAATGGATCCAGACAGATCAGAGTGTAGCACACAGTGATCATGGTAGATTTTTACAGAACGAATCGATTTGTTAATTTGTAATTAGATCATTGTGCCTGGCAAACAGAAAATGTTCAGAAAAGAGAGCAGGATGAATCCCGTCTGATAATACCTGCTTTCTGTATGTCACTGATTAAATTCTTTGCTATTGTTCCGTTGTAAAACACATCTGGTCCCTCGTTTGCGATCGTCTCCAAAGTGTCAGCCAGTTTCTCAAATTTCACAGTATCCCCGGTCTTAAGCAGGTTCCCATTTTTATCTAAATATAACTCCCTAAAACACAAAGACAGTGAAATAATAATAATAATGATTGCATTTATATAGCGCTTTTCGGGGCCCTCAAAGCGCTTTACAATACCACTATTCATTCACTCTCACATTCACACACTGGTGGAGGCAGCTACATTGTAGCCACAGCTGCCCTGGGGCAGACTGACAGAGGCGAGGCTGCCGGACACTGGCGCCATCGGCCCCTCTGGCCAACACCAGTAGGCGACGGGTGAAGTGTCTTACCCAAGGACACAACGACCGAGACTGTCCGAGCTGGGGCTCGAACCGGCAACCTTCCGGTTACAAGACGAACTGCCAACTCTTTGAGCCACAATCGCCTAAAACATTCATTTGTATTTTTGAAATCACATTGTGGGTGTATTTCATACCGTAGTGACGTGTTGCCAATGCGTGGGATGTGTTGACCTTGGTAGTAAGGAATAGGGAATCCTCCTCTGGCTAATTTGATGGTCGGCTGAAAGAGGTCGGCCCACGGCAACTTCCCATAAAGCCGGTGTGCCGCTTCATAACCTCGAATTTCCCCAGGAACCCCAATCCATCTGCTATCTGGTTAGACAGATAATGGGTAGTCAGGGCTGGAAAGTCACACATACATTTGCTCGTGTTTTGAGTAAACTGTAAGGTCCTGACCTTTAATGGTCTGAGATGACATTTGTTATAATTTGGTGCTTTGTAAATAATCTATTCTATTTTGCTCCATTTCAGAGGGAAACACTGTAATTTTTAAATGTGTGTCTGTTTGTAACTGATTGTGTTAGAGATAACATTTTGCATCCTACACTTACTTTTAGTTTATTTCACTACATTTACATATTTACACTATTTCTGGCCTAAAGAAGCATTTAGCATCTTATACTTACTTCTCTTACTGTTTATGCAGCCTGTGTGCAGGAGTGTAGCACAGAACTCTGGACCCTATAAATAAATGGTGTCTGGAGCCCCCTTTCTTTTCTTGATCCATTTACCTCACACATATTTTAATTTCTATTTTCTTTATTTATTTATTTTATGTCCGCCACAAGTGAACTGCTATAATAAATACTCCTCGTATTGCTGTCCATCCCATAGGTCAAAGTCAACACACTATAGACAATCAGGAAGTAATGCAGGAAGGTCTTTTGTACTCTGCTGACAGCAACATAAGGGACAGGGACATGTGCATCCACAGCAGCCTGTGTCTCTGGCCTCACAAGATCTCACAAGATTTCCAGCTTAAACTCCATAGACAGATAATCTGCCACAGAACGAGTGAAGATTAGCCAAATTAGAAACAATGACTGATAAAGATGGACTTGTGAGGAAAGTTAAGATTTGTCCTGGGGACCAGAAAATGGGAAAGATGGACAGCATCCTGGCAAGCTGTCTACACAAATCAGAAAGTTCCCCAACCAGAAGTCCTGGATCAACGGTCAGGTACGACACATGCTGCGTACTCGCTCTCTTGCATTAAGATCAGGCAATGAGATGGAGTACAAAGCTGTGAAGTACACACTGAGGAAAGCCATTACAGCAGCTAAGAGGCAGTACTTCTATTCTTCTGCTGACCCCAGGCGGATGTGGCAAGGCACATCACAGAATATAGGGCCACCACCAACACCATCAGCTCCACAGGTGGTCTGCTGGAGGATCTCAACCCGCTTTACACCTGCTTTGAGACCCCCCAGACCTCCCAGATCCTCCACACCTCCCATATCTCCCAGAACCTCTAGACCTCCAAGACCTTCCAGAAGCCCCAGATTACCCGACCCTCTCCCCCGCCAGCGGTCTCAATAGACCAAGTGCACAAGGTCCTGAGGAAGATCAACCACCGCAAGGCAGCAGGACCAGACAACATCCCTGGACGGGCCCTTAGAGCATGTGCTAACGAGCTGGCTGATGTTCTCACCTCCATCTTTAACCTTTCCCTCAGTCGGAGCATAGTTCCCACATGCTTCAAGACCACAACTATCATCCATCTCCCCAAGAAAAGCCCAGCCACCTGCCTAAATGACTACAGACCAGTTGCACTCACTCCAATCATTGCAAAGTGTTTTGAGAGAGTGGTGCTGGCCTACATTAAATGGTAAATGACCTGTATTTGTATAGCGCTTTTCTAGTCCCTAAGGACCCCAAAGCGCTTTACACAACCAGTCATCCACACATTCACACACTGGTGATGGCAGCTACATTGTAGCCACAGCCACCCTGGGGCGCACTGACAGAGGCGAGGCTGCTGGACACTGGCGCCACCAGGCCCTCTGACTACCACCAGTAGGGTGAAGTGTCTTGCCCAAGGACACATTAAGAGCAATATTCCAGACACTCTGGACCCCCTGCAGTATGCCTACCGGCCAACAGGTCCACGTCAGACGCCATCGCTGCTGCCCTTCACTATTCACTCTCCCACCTGGAAAATAATGACTCCTACATCAGGGTACTCTTTGCTGACTGTAGCTCCGCCTTCAACACAGTCATCCCTCACAAACTCATCCACAAACTGTCTACACTCGGCCTGCACCCCACCCTCTGTGACTGGCTACAGAACTTTTTCACTGGCAGGCCTCTGTCAGGATCGGCAACAGGACTTCAGTCAGCATTACCACAAACACTGGCGTCCCACAAGTTTGCGTCCTCAGCCCCACCCTCTACACCCTGTACACCCACGACTGTGTCGCCTCCAACAAAGACAACATCATTTTGAAGTTCACAGATGACACTGCAGTGATCGGTCGCATCACTGGAGGGGACGAAGCGGCTTATAGGAGAGAGGTGGCCGGTCTGGTGTCATGGTGTGAGGACAATAACCTCACCCTCAACACTGATAAAACAAAGCAGATGAGCAGCTTTAGGTACCTGGGCATTCACATCAGTGAAGACCTCACCTGGACACTGAACACCAGACAGCTGGTCAAGAAGCCTCCTGAGGAGGCTGAGGAAATTTGGGATGTTAGCCAAGATCCTCAGCAGCTTCTATAGCTGCACCGTGGAGAGCACACTGACCAGCTGCATCACTGCATGGTACGGCAGCACTACTGCTATGGACCACAAGCGCCTGCAGAGAGTGATAACAACTGCGGAGAAGATCACCAGGACCCCGCTGCCCTCTCTGCAGAGCATCTACCATCGCAGAGTCCAGAGGAGAGCTGCCTCCATCCTTAGAGACCCCACACACCCTCAACATGGACTGTTCACACTTCTGCCCTCGAGACGAAGGTTTAGGAGTGTGAAATCCAGAACATCTCGACTCACTAACTCCTTCTTCCACTGCTGTCGGACACCTGAACAGCTGACCTACCTCAACTGCAATTTGCATATAAGGACAATTTGCACACTAAGTTCATTTTGCACATAGAAATGCTATTCCTTCTGTACACATGAAAATAAACACTTTCTTGAATCTTTGAATCCAAAAATTTGTAGTATTGCACAGACTAAATTCTAAAGTATGTAAAGAGCTGTGTGGTTACAGGTTATTTTGAGTTTAGAAATCATTAATTTTATATTTCTCTTTGTTGTTAAAACACACACACATAATTTGGTGGAAATGTAAAATAATAGGACACTTGAGGACACTATTGAGGCCGTGCCACAGTCAACTTTCACTGTGCTCTGGGCTGCAATTGCTTATTAACCCTTTTTTTGTCTTTTAACAAATGTATTTAATAAAGGCATTTTAATACTGGAACCAATTTGCCTCAGCAGTGTTTCTTCAAGCCTGTGTAATTCTTTTGTTTAGTCTGAAAACACTCTCTTTATATTTCCTAGGGTTGAAATTCCCCTAGGTGGCGCTGTTGCATTTTAATCATAACACCCCCTGACCACCTCGCCACAACAGTAAGCACGTACTTAGTTTTCATGGTTCAGTGTGCCATCCACAAATGTAAATTCTCTATCATGCAAAAAAGAAAGCCATATATGAACATGATCCAGAAATGCAGCTGTCTTCTCTGGGCTAAAGCTCACTTAAAAAGGACTGAGGCAAAGTGGAGAACTGTTCTAATGTCTGACAAATCTTTTTGTTTGTTTGTTTGTTTGTTTGTTTGTTTGTTTGTTTGTTTGTTTGTTTGTTTGTTTGTTTGTTTGTTTGTTTGTTTGTTTGTTAGAAAATGTGGATCCTGCATCCTCTGGGCTAAACAGTAAAGGGCTTTAACAAGTGCTGCTGTTTTTGCAGCTTGTTATCACCACTCAATTCAAAACATTTGAAGGTGATTACATTACTGCCTATGGAATTGGCTGCTTGCACATCTGTACACAGGTCTTAGAACAACTTACGCTCCCATCGAGTTGACATCAGCAAGACCGCGCATACTGTATCTATTACAATAGCATGGTTTCACAGTAGAAGTACCTGGGTGTTAAAATGACCTGCCTGCAGTTCAAACCTTTGACCAAGAAAAAAAAAAACACATCGGATGCACCATGAAATGAAAGATATGACAAAAAGGACCCAGGACTTTCTTTGTGTCCAGTCCGTCTCTGTCTCATCTGAGGGTCCTGTCTTTAGTGTTTTGTTCTTTTGTCCAACTGTTTTGTCCCAGTTTGTCCCACTTTCATAAACAGGATACTCAAGCCTGCTTTAATGTTAGCTTATAACCAGCTGTTGTTGTTTAGCTGGTTTTTCGTTGACTGCCTGGAGTTGGAAGCGCTCCATGTCTAATCTGCTTACAGTAATTAAATAATAATGGTTATGCATTCCTTAGTGTGTTAGAGCCCTGACTTTATTTCAGGAGATGAGGTTAGAGGTGAGGAGGCGGATACCTGTCATGCTGTCTCTTTCCTTCGCTTCTTTGGTGACAAGAGCCCTATCCCAGATGATAAAAAGTAGGTATGATCCTTCACATCTTGAGTTTGTCTTACAGACTAAGGTGCAGAATGTAAAAAATACCTCTGCAAATAACTGGCTACACCTTTAGAACTTTTGTGTTACATCTTGTGCATAATTTGGAGAAAGACCTGTTAAGACCTGTTTGGAGAAAGAAACTACTTCAATCTCTCTGGTTGCTTCTGAAACTAATTAGCATGTGTTTCATGGTTTTAATTTATGCTAGATTATTCTGATAGTGTCATATACGACACCGACTCATTGTCTTGAATAACTGCCGACAGCCAAACCCTCTGTAGTGGTTTGCTTTATCTCTTTTTTCTTTTCTTTTTTATTATCCCAGTTTCTCTTTCTTGAGGAATGAGGAATGAGGCTGTGTCATAAAGGTGAGTCCAAGAGCAGATTAGACTAAACCATTATAAATATTAGCATTATGGCAGAAAAACAACCCACCTTCCAGCCACTCCATGGTCCACTCTGTGGTTTTACGACACAACTTAAGCAGGTCAGAGTTCACATTTCTGGGGACAGTCTCTCTGGAGTTGATGATTTTCACTTTACCTTTGAAAAGATGACATATTATTATGTTAAACCCCAGCGGGGTTGAGCTAAGAGGAGCAAGGGTGTCTTGTTACCAGAGCTGTCCATCACAGTGAATATGACCCCGCCTCCGATGCCCGCGCACTGTGGGTTGATGATGGAGGTGCACAACAGCGCAGCAATGGCAGCATCTACTGCAGAGCCGCCTTTCTGAAGAATGTTCCTGAAACAGTTCAGAGAAATAGATCAGGCTGAAGTTCATGTCCCGCTCCCGGCTATTCGCGGGGATAAACCATTTTTGCAGTCACTTTTAAATAAAGTATCCAACTGTATGAAAGTACCACTGAGCATCTGGTTCCAGGAACTTAGAAAGAAAATGTTTGAAAGTGATGCAAGAATACTACGCTTGCGAGCATATGACACAGAAATCAGCCCTGTTAAAACTGATAGTAGGTTTAAATATTGGTGCAACTTTGGCATTTCCGCATATTGGGAAGCATCATCTGAAAAAGGCCTGGTTACCTTTCAACAAATGTCAGACAGTTAAAACCTGGAGAGGGGTTACTTCTTTAAATGTCTCCAATTAAGACCTCACTGTAATACAGATATTGTGTCCAAGAAGAGAGAATAAATCTATCTGAAGAAGATTGGTTGGTCTGTCTGTCTATCTCATATATATATATATATATATATATATATATATATATATATATATATATATATATATATATATATATATATATATCAAACCAAAAACCTTCCAGTTAGTAGTTGACCAGCTCTACTACCTGAGCTACAGCCACCCCCATCTCTTTAAATACCGTACTTTCTGTTGACAATACACACCACATCTGTAAGAATCATAGTTTCTACGTAATACGGCTTTTTCTCCGTTTTGACCAATAAATCATTTAGTAGGGAAATGGCATGAAGATTTTATACAGATCACACCGAATTTTGACTTTTATTTATAAAAAAAAAGGGGGGGGGGGGGGGGGGACATAACCGCACACTTCCATGATGAGACGCTGTCATGCAGTTTTCAAAGACGTTTTAGCGCTAAAGTTTGCATTTGGAACAGTGCATAATTTTATGTGTAATGCGAAAAACGAAAATGTGTCCGAAGTTTAAAATGTTACTCACCGTCCAATCTCTGAACAATTCCAGGAGTCTGCGGCCACAGCAGCTTTTGAGAAAGGGCAATTAGCACTGGTGTCCTTACACTCACTTCTATCCTTCCGATACCAATTATAACCAGCTAGTGGACCAGCTACTAGAGCACCTGCTACAAAGCCAACTGCTACTAATCCGAGAACTTTGGCCAGGCGTTTTCGTTTTGCTCTGGTTTCTGCGCTCTTAACGTCCTTTCCCTGAATGTCCTCGTTGGGGGGACACATAGGAGACGTATTTGCCTCTTCCACGTGCTCGGTTGACTCAGGCATCGCTGCTTTCTTCTCTGCGTAACCGTCGGTAATTCACTTCCTCCGAAAGTTAACCGCTTGTTGATTTCCCAGACAGCACAGCGATGTATTGCGCACATATATCCGCTGTGTGGGTACTGATAGGCACAACGCAACGGAGACGTGTGTTTGTGGTAAGCAGAGGTAGCTGCTCCCGGTGTGTAGGACGTTTTGTCAGAACACCGGTAGCCCTGATGTTTTTTGCTCATCTCTGCAAGACACTGGGTGGACTTTTCTTACCTCAGCCTTTTCCTCCATGTGCTTGATCCCACCGGGGATAGTGTGCACGTCATTGTCCCACTGCAAATGGATCGAATAACATCGACGGCTCTTATCGCTGCTTTATCGACCTCCTACTGTTCGCTGTTCATGAGCCACGCACTGGTCTTCCTCACCCAAACCATAAATACTTTGCATCAAGATTGTGACTTTTAGTCTCTGGTCAGTGATGTTGGTTCACTGACCAGAGTGGGTGGTGAAGTGGTAAATTATGATCTTCAGTTGGACTAATATTAAGTGCAGCTGAATGTTCGGGTATCTGTCAGCACTGCTCAGATATGAAGAAATATATTTGGTCTAAAACTGAAATAAAAATTCAAGTGCGAAAATGCAGTTAACTGCAATTTAAAACTAAACTTGAGGTTAAATAAAAACTGAAACAATATTTTGTATTTAAATTGAAACCTATGTGAACTGTATTTAGCTTAAATGTAGGGGAGACCGGGGATAGTTGTAACGTGGGTCAGTTGTAACACTTTCAATTTCTCCAATCAGGGCTAAGTTTCAAATGATGTGACTCATCCTGTGCATGCCCAACTCAGTTCTGCTATCACATGTGGAAAATCAGCACATTTTGTCAAACACAGACAATTTAACACGAAAAAAAGTAATTTGTATGCCAAAAAGTACGTTTTTCTACTTTATTTCAATTTCTAATAGCATTATCTGCTTTGCAGCTAAACTCATCAAACTTAAATTATGTTATTTGTATGTCTATGGGGATATATTCTGTGTAGGTCTTTAGTGCTAATGTTTTAGCCGTTGGCTGTAATGTTAGCTAGTTCATGGCTATAGGAGTCTGGGTCAGTTGTAATAGTAACAGTCTGGGTTAGTTGTAACAATAATGCAGATGTTACAACTTACCACACTATTACTTTAACTTATATTAAACAAGTTGGGGCAACGACATCAGCAGAGAGAGGTTCACTGGTCGCATTTCTATATGCGGTTAATGCCATTGGCAACACAATTCCTCCACTGTTTGTGTTCCCACACATACATTATGCAGACCACTGTGTCAGAGATGGACCAGTAGGAAGTACTGGTAGTGGAAATAAATCAGGATGAGTGCAAGAAACAGATTTCCTCATCTTTCTGAAGCACTTTGAAAACCTCACCAAGGTAAGCCATGATAAAAAGTAATGGAATTGCGATGCTGGTGAACAACTACATTTTTTCAGCTTCATTGTTATGTTCAAAATTGGTGCAAGAGTTGTAGGTTATAATGCCCACTGAGCCAATGAGGCCAAACTCAAGGAAGACCAACCAAAATTAATGAAATATTCAGTTGCAGAAAATTCTATAATTTGTCTTTTTTGGGGGGTTGGAATATGTTCAAAAGCTAGATTTCTGCATTCTGTCACACACACACACACACACACACACACACACACACACACACACACACACACACAGAGAGAGAGAGAGAGCTACATAAATGGCTCTAAGTGCATTCATGTGTTGAATAAACAAAGATTACATGTAAATGTTTTGTTAGTACCCTTATTTCATTGTGTTACATTTCACCCCAGGATATGTTACAACTAACCCAGACTAGGGGGTTAATTGTAACATTTCACTCTTCGTGTTTGAGGCCATACCATGCAATGGGTAATTGTGCTGCAGAGAAAATAGCTGCACTATTTAATAGCAGAGACATGTAAATACTTTGCATTACATTTTGAATCCACTACCTTAACAGAGCTCCGATTTACAGACAGAAATGTCAAAAATGTTACAACTATCCCCGGTCTCCCCTACTTTGTTAGCTTCAGATTTGGACAAATTTGTCAACACAACCATCATCAGTAGCGGTTTTAGATACGGGCGGTTGCCCGGGGCGGCATCGTGGTGGGGAGCGGCATCACGGGCATCGGCAAAAAAAAATAAAAAATGCTCGTACTCATGCTGCCCCGACGTCATGCCAGCGCATATGGGGAATGGTACAGGCACCGATCGGTTTTCTATCACCCATTTGCTGGGAGTAAGGGCCCCCTCCGTTTGCGAGGTGCGCCTGCTGCTTGCGGCACAGGGAGGAGAGGGCGGGGCTGCGGGGGATTCTCTGGCTGGCTGGAGCAGCGTCTAATAACCAACTCGCAAAATAAAACAAAATAAAAACAAAATGAAAACACCAGACATCATGATACAGACTTGTAATTTGAACCGACGTTTTTCGAAATTCTATACGCGAAAAGTGAGCGCGAGAGCCCTCGCTACTGAAGTGAAAGTAAACTTTATTGTCATCTCTGCTACATACAGTCCAGTATATAGAGAGACGAGACGAGGCTCCAGTTACAGCAGTGCAAGTAAACAAACAATAAAAATAAGAAGAGTAAGAAAATAAATATACACTTTAGGACCAGGAGTAAAGGGATCAATAACAATTTAAAATTTATAATTTACAGTTTGATGATTTAAAATCTCACACACAACCTGTCGAAAGGGGACCGGCTGCTTCCAAATAGAGCACATTTCATTCATAATGTTGTAAATCCAAGCCCATTATCTACTCATGATTTGAATCCTGGGTTGTGCGAAATCCCAGAAATAAACCCTAGACAAAGTGAATCTGTGAACTAAGGTGTAGGTCTGTTAGGTTATGTTGTGGTGATCCTCGGGTTGGGGGATGGGTGTTCATACTGGAGTGCAACATTAAAACCAATGGAAGATGGACAGGAAAAGTTCAAAGTCATGGGGTGCAAAAGATACAAGTAAGCAGATGTGTGATTGGACCATGGCAGGTCATCCTGAAACAATCAGAATCATAATCAGAATACTTTATTAATCCCTAAGGAAATTATGTAGGTTACAGTTGCTCCAAGAAGAAATTGTGAAAATAGCAACAGTAACAGACTAAACTCCAAACAATACATTATGTTACAGATTTTACACATGTAAGAAATAGCACTATTATATACAGACCACTCAATTATAAATATCAAGAATTAACAGAGGTGATTTTAAATAAATATCAAGAACATTGGCAAGAATATTCCATGAAAGAGCACGTGTAAAAAGGGGTGTGACTGTTGCAGTGTTTACAGTGTATTAGATGGAGGAGTTGTACAGGGAGCCACAGGCAGGAATGATTTCCTGTGTCGGTCAGTGGTGCTTTTTGGTAATCTCAGTCTCTCACTGAACGTGCTCATGTGACTAGCCAGAAGGTCATGGAGTGGGTGGGAGTTATTATCCATGATTGTCCTTATCTTGGACAACATCTGCCTCTCAGACACCACCCTAACGGAGTCCAGCTCCACCCCCACAACATGTGGATCAGTTTATTTAGTCTGTTGGCATCTGTGACCCTCAACCTGCTGCCCCCGAATGCAACAGCATAGAGGATGGCACTGACTACGACACAAATACAACAAGATAACATTAATTAGTAGGCATAGTGAAAACTTGCCTACTAATTGTAGATTCAGTGTCTACTGTTTACTATCATAAACAATAGACACTGAATCTTTTGGACTGTGTTCAGCACAATATTAATTAGTCATTGTGAATTGTTGATTTGTCCGATTCTCATTGTATGACGAATTGTGTTGGCTGTTTGTTAGTCATTTACAAACTATGCATACTGTCACTCTGGGGAGTGTTCGCCCAGGGCGCCAAACAGGCTAGGACCGTCACTGGGGCTAAATAACTATTTATCTGCATCACATTTTAAGAGATCTGGAATAAGCAGGACTTTATCATTGACAAGTGATATTTACAACGATACAAGTAATCTTTTTTTTTCCACTGTCGGTCGCCCTGTGTCTTTTATCCTAAAAGCCCAGGTCCTGTACCAGAGACCTGGTTCAGTGTCCGCATATCGTCACTGTTTGTAGGACTGGAGTCTTCTCTACAGAGATCTCAGATGTCATTTCCGGGATCACACAGCCTGCACCTGGGGGTCTTGCCTGCAGTGGTAGACCCCAGCCGCTACTGATCTTGTGCTTAGGCGTGTTCCCGCGCTCCATGATGCATGTCTATACAGGCTAAGCCTACGCTGGAAGCCACTGAGGTGTTCGTTAACGGGGGTGACGCGATATCACTGGTATGCATGCATTCATTAAACAGCCCAATAACTCCAGTTCAGTTTCAGTTTTATTTGTCATATGCAAGTTAGCACAGGGTCAACATTGCAATGAAATGTATTTGAGGAGCAGCAGACAGTCACTCGGCAGTACGTAAAAAACTGTAAGAGCAAAATGTTTAGAAATACAGTAGTACTTATCTTGTTCATGTTTATCTATTTTAACATAACAGCGCAGCGGTCACAAACTGTTTGTCTTCTTCCGACTAACAACACACCTGACGCCCATTGAGTGCGTCCACCTTAAATACCTTTACATAAACCTACCATACAGAAAACAGAAACAGGGGACCTCTAGCGGCAACATAGGGTATTAACCCAAAAAACTTTCATACATGGTAAAGAAACTTGTCTAGATGTCAGTGGCTTCTATCACCTGCTTTGGCCAGCTTATTCTCTCAGAAGGGACAAAAGCCTGTCAGCAACATCCCTTAGATCCCCGAGACACACAAACCCTCCTGCCACGGTAAGGTAGCTATTCATCGATTATTTTTCTAATAATGAGAAAACTAATAATAATAAATAATAATACATAGAAAACAAATAATAATAAAACAGTAAAACACAGACAATATATCAAATGTTTAAAATGTGACATTTTA